TACCCTAGCGGTATTCGACACCGCGTCGGCGAGCGCCGATCCCCTCACAGCGGTTATTTCAGACACCGCGCGGCGAGCGTCGATCCCCTAGCGTATTACAGACAACGCGCGGCGAGCGTCGATTTCCCCTTCAGCGGTATTTCAGACACGCAGCGGACGAAGCGGCGGACCCCCAGCGTATTTGTAGTCAGACACCGCGCAGGCGAGCGTCGATCCCTCCAATACCGGCGTTACAAAACAGTTCGTTCATAAAATAAAAGTCGATCATCTTGCATAAGCAAAGACAAGTCCCGCCCCGGTGGGATTTCTAGAACCGTGTGAATTTACGTCGGGATCTCAAAATGTCCCGTTTTAAATCTATACTATTATAGTAAGGGATGAAATCCCACTTTTAGAAATCCCGGATCTTTGATCCGACCGCTCTGACTCAGTCCGCTAGGATTCTAGGGGGGAAGGGGGGGCCAGCTCGGCGCGGCCAGGGCAGCGGTCAGCCTCTGCCCGCTTGCTCACGCGGAAGGAAGACACGAAACCCACGCCACCTTCAAGCTCTCATGAAACGTGACGAACTTTTGTAACGGCGTAGCGGTATTTCAGACACCGCGCGGCGAGCGTCGATCCCCTAGCGGTATTTCAGACACCGCGCGGCGAGCGTCGATCCCCTCAGCGGTATTTCAGACACCGCGCGGCGAGCGTCGATCCCCTAGCGGCATTTCAGACACCGCGCGGCGAGCGTCGATCCCCTCAGCAGTATTTCAGACACCGCGCGGCGCGCGTCGATCCCCTAGCGGTATTTCAGACACCGCGCGGCGAGCGTCGATCCCCTCAGCGGTATTTCAGACACCGCGCGGCGAGCGTCGATCCCCTAGCGGTATTTCAGACACCGCGCGGCGAGCGTCGATCCCCTCAGCGGTATTTCAGACACCGCGCGGCGAGCGTCGACCCCCTAGCGGTATATGTATGTCAGACACCGCGCGGCGAGCGTCGATCCCCTCATCGGCGTTACAAAAGTTTCGTCATAAAATAAAAGTCGATCATCTTGCATAAGCAAAGACAAATCCCGCCCCGGTGGGATTTCTGGAACCGTGTGGATTCACATCGGGATTTCAAAATGTCCTTTTTAAATCTATACTATTATAGTAAGGGATGAAATCCCACTTTTAGAAATCCCGGATCTTTGATCCGACCGCTCTTGACTCAATCCGCTAGGATTCTAGGGGGGAAGGGGGGGCCAGCTCGGCGCGGCCAGGGCAGTGGTCAGCCTCTGCCCGCTTGCTCACGCGGAAGGAAGACACGAAACCCATGCCACCTTCAAGCTCTCATGAAAACGCCTGACGAACTTTGTAAACGGCGTAGCGGTATTCAGACACCGCGCGGCGAGCGTCGATTACCCTAGCGGTATTTCAACAAGTGTGTCGAGGCGTCGATCCCTCAGCTGGTGATTCAGACACCGCGCGGCGAGCGTCGATCCCTAGCGGTATTTAGACACCGCGCACGGCGAGCGCGTTTTTCGATCCCCTCAGCAGGATTTCAGACACCGCGCAACGAGCGGTCGTCGACCCCCTAGCGGTTGATTATTTCAGACACCGCGCGGCGAGCGTCGATCCCCTAGGCGGCATTTCAGACACCGCGCGGCGAGCGTCGATCCCCTAGCGGTATTTCAGACACCGCGCGGCGAGCGTCGATCCCCTCAGCGGTATTTCAGACACCGCGCGGCGAGCGTCGATCCCCTAGCGGTCTTTCAGACACCGCGCGGCGAGCGTCGATCCCCTCAGCGGTATTTCAGACACCGCGCGGCGAGCGTCGATCCCCTAGCGGTATTTCAGACACCGCGCGGCGAGCGTCGATCCCCTCAGCGGTATTTCAGACACCGCGCGGCGAGCGTCGATCCCGTAGCGGGATTTCAGACACGCGCGGCGAGCGTCCGATTCCCCCTCAGCAGCTAAACTGCGGGAAAGGTGCGTGAGCGTCGATCCCCTAGCGGTATTTCAGACACCGCGCGGCGAGCGTCGATCCCCTCAGCGGTATTTCAGACACCGCGCGGCGAGCGTCGATCCCCTAGCGGGATTTCAGACACCGCGCGGCGAGCGTCGATCCCCTCAGCGGTATTTCAGACACCGCGCGGCGAGCGTCGATCCCCTAGCGGTATTTCAGACACCGCGCGGCGAGCGTCGATCCCCTCAGCGGTATTTCAGACACCGCGCGGCGAGCGTCGATCCCTCAGCGGTATTTCAGACACCGCGCGGCGAGCGTCGATCCCCTAGCGGTATTTCAGACACCGCGCGGCGAGCGTCGATCCCCTCAGCAGTATTTCAGACACCGCGCGGCGAGCGTCGATCCCTTAGCGGTATTTCAGACACCGCGCGGCGAGCGTCGATCCCCTCAGCGGTATTTCAGACACCGCGCGGCGAGCGTCGATCCCCTAGCGGTATTTCAGACACCGCGCGGCGAGCGTCGATACCCTCAGCGGTATTTCAGACACCGCGCGGCGAGCGTCGATCCCCTAGCGGTATTGTAATGTCCGACACCGCCGCGGCGAGCGTCGATCCCCTCATCGGCGTTGCAAAAGTTTCGTCATACAATAAAAGTCGATCATCTTGCATAAGCAAAGACAAATCCCGCCCCGGTGGGATTTCTGGAACCGTGTGAATTCACATCGGGATTTCAAAATGTCTCGTTTTTACATCTATACGATTATAGTAAGGGAGGAAATCCCACTTTTAGAAATCCCCGATCTTTGATCCGACCGCTCTTGACTCAGTCCGCTAGGATTCGAAGGGGGAAGGGGGGCCAGCTCGGCGCGGCCAGGGCAGTGGTCAGCCTCTGCCCGCTTGCTCACGCGGAAGGAAGACACGAAACCCATGCCACCTTCAAGCTATCATGAAACGTGACGAACTTTTGCAACGGCGTAGCGTTATTTCAGACACCGCGCGGCGAGCGTCGATCCCCTAGTCGGTATTTCAGACACCGCGCGGCGAGCGTCGATCCCTCTAGCGGTATTTCAGACACGCGCGGCGAGCGTCCGATCGGAAGACGGCATTCCGACACCGCGCGGCAGAGCGTCGATCCATCAGCAAGTATTTCAGAAACCGCGCGCGCGAGCGTCGATCCGACCTAGCGGCATGCAGGACACCGCGCGGCGAGCGTCGATCCCTCTCAGCGGTATTTCAGACACCGCGCGGCGAGCGTCGATCCCCCCTTAGCGGTATTCTCAGACACCGCGCGCGAGCGTCGATCCCCTTCAGCGGATTTCAGACACCGCGCAAGGCGACGCGTTCGACCCCCTAGAGGTAAGTGATGTCCGAACACCGCGCGGCGGAGCGTTCGAATCCCCCTCATCGGCGTTACAAAAGTTTCGTCATAAAACAAAAGTCGATCATCTTGCATAAGCAAAGACAAATCCCGCCCCGGTGGGATTTCTGGAACCGTGTGAATTCACATCGGGATTTCAAAATGTCTCGTTTAAAATCTATACTATTATAGTAAGGGATGAAATCCCACTTTTAGAAATCCCGGATCTTTGATCCGACCGCTCTTGACTCAGTCCGCTAGGATTCTAAGGGGGAAAGGGGGGCCAGCTCGGCGCGGCCAGGGCAGTGGTCAGCCTCTGCCCGCTTGCTCACGCGGAAGGAGGACACGAAACCCATGCCACCTTCAAGCTCTCATGAAACGTGACGAACTTTTGTAACGGCGTAGTATATGTATATATATATATATATATAGATATATTCCTCTTCCTTATATTTTTGCCCCCCCCCCAAAAAATAGACTCCCTGACTCTGGACGGGCCTCGAAGCGGCCCCCGGGCCGCGAAGGGCGTTTTGCCAAGCATTCCCAGCACACCTAGGGCGATCAGAGGGGGTCATCGGAGACGTCCCAGAGACCCCCAAGACAGCACAAGAGCGCTCCAAGAGTGACCGACGTGACCTCAAGATGGTCCAAGAGGTATCCACGACGGCCCCAAAGAGGCCTCCAAGAACACTCCCAAGAAGGCCCCCCAAGAGGCAAACATAACTTATTTTCTGTTTGTTTTTTGGTGAATTTGGGGGTTCTCCTCTTCTCGGCTTCCCGACGCTCCAAGACGGCGGTCTTCTGGACGTCCGAAGCCGCCTGGGAGGCTCCAACATTGACCCACAACCATCCGACAGGGCTTCCAGGCAGTCCAAGAGAGCCCCCAAACGGCACAACACGGGTCCAAGATGGCCTTCAGAGAGCCCCATGGCTGCCCAAGATGGCCCCAAGACACCCTCCCAAGCATTCCAAATCGTGACCCGGTCGTTCAGGGAAACCGCGGTTGGAGGCAGGGTGGCCCGAGGAAGCCCCCAGAGCCCCCAGAATAAGCCCAGGAGGCCTCCAGAAGGTCTCAAGAAAGCCTGAAACAATTGTTGTGAGGCCCCCAGAGGCTCTCCACGGAGGGGCCTCCGCAAAAAAGAGCTGATGAGGATGGGGAGAATGCGCAGGGAATGGCGAAAATGAGGAAAAAGAAGCCTGGGGGAATGATAACGGATAACATTAGTATAGCGGCGACGCCGGAAAAGGCAACAAGGAGTTATCGCTGAATTGTCGGTTTGACCTTCCTTCTATTCCGCCTGCATACCAAACTTCAAGGGTCAAGGTGCATGGCGCGAAGCGCCACTGCAGTCTTGTGTATATATATGTATATATAAAGATGCATGTTCATATTATACATGGGTACCACATGCCCCTTCTATTTCGTCGACCACGTGCATAACTATAGTTTGCATTAACTCACTGGTGGTGTCAAGGTTCCTTGCTCAGCTGCTCCGTTTGAGTGATGCATGTCCCTCACAGTAGTTTGTTTCACGCTTCCATTCTGTTGCACGATATGCCTATTATTGTGCCGTTTTCCTGTACCCGCCAATGAAAGACCCCAACATATCCTCTCAGTTCTTCAGTTCTGCTATTCCTTCTTGTCCTCTACCTCTATTCCTCTCGCTCTCTCATCTCCCTGATCTCACCATGCAGTTGCTTTTGCTGGCAAGGAGAAGCGGCAGCAGGTGGCAGAGCTGGAGAACATGATACAGGATGGGGCTTGTGTCGGAGCTGGGCGACGCATTGTTTACTTCCTGGGGTTACCCATCATGCGCGTGCAGCTGCGTCTTCCATCACAGCGGATGTTCCTGTACCATCACATTCTTTGTCTCCGAGCTCTCCCTCTCGATATCTTTGTGAACTCCCTTGCCAGGCACTCGATTGGTTGCTCGAAGTCGTGCTCCGAGAGGTTGACTGGTTGGGCCGGGACCGTGATTTTGGACTGAGTGCCGCAAACTGCAGCCTCAACCTTCTCACGGCTGAAGTGCCGAGCGTGCTTCGTTCTGAAATCAGCCTGTGCCCGCGCATTCACCCGAAATCTATGGCACGGCCCCCTTTTTAGCTGGACCCCCCTCCGCCTCCTCCTCCTCGTGCTTATCGTCCTCCCCTACTTGTTACAGTTAGGCTTAAGGCGGTTCAACCTTTGGCCTTCCGTGCTTGCTGTTCTTCCTCCTCCCCTCCTTCCTCTCCTCCTCCTCTCCCTCCCTTAATCCTCATAGACTCGATCCTCATCCTTCCTCCTCTCCTATCCTTATTCCTATTCGAATAACCCTACTCCCCCACTCAGTGACGGCCATTAGGGGCCCCATCCGGGTGGTTCCATCCTAACCTATAAAAAACAGTACAAAATCAACATTTTTCTTATTTTTTCCTCTCGACATGGACGTCCTGTCGTCACGGCGATAATCCATTGCAAAAAATACCACAAAGAGCACACGCGCGCGTTCATGTCAGAATCCTACCGAACACCGTGTGTTTGCAAGCATTTCAACATAAAAACATCAAAAACCCAATGTCTTTTTTTTCACAAAAATTCTACAAATTTCCTGCCCGGGCTCTCTTGTTGAAATCATAGGAAAACCATAGGAATCTTAAGAATTCGGTCAAATCCAGCGATTTCACGGTTGCATGCGCGGTGCACTCGCGATTTGCTCTGTCATGAACTATCAATCGCTGCGAATCGCTGCAACAAATTGGGACTGTTGAGAGGATGAACATGTTTGGCCGCTGTCAGAATCCTACCAACACCGTGTGTTTGCAAGCATTTCAACATACAAACATCAAAAACCCAATGCTTTTTCACAAAAATGTTTTGGGGTGTCCTGTCAGACCGTCGGGCTTCCTCCGGCCACCTCTGGCTTCCTGCGGTGTACCCGGCCATTCTCGACTCGTCTGGCAATGCGTGCGCGGCATTCAACACGCGCTCGCCAGTTTCCCGTCGGCAACCGCCATCGCGGCCGCATCAGCTGTACCAAACCGGCTGGCCGGTGTGACTTCGGCCCCCAGTTGTGCCAGCTTTGCTTCTTATGTTGTGGGAGGGCGGGTGGGACTGGGCATGCCATGCTTGACTCGCTCGAGCTGGCTAGCTTGACTCCTACTCCTACTCCTACTCCTACTCCTACTACTACTCCTCCTCCCCCCCCCTTTGGGGTCACCCGAGGAGGTGCCCCTGGGCCCAGGTGCCCCCAGCTCTGCGCTCTGCTCCGGAGCCCCCCGGGGCCCTGCCGGCCTCGTGAGGGGGTCATCCGGGCGCCGTGGGTGCCTCCCTGAAGATCGACACGATCGACAGGGCGGAAAGGACTCGGGGCTGGACAGACCTCCTACCCTGACACGTCGATTCAGGAATTGGCCGTTTTCGGTTCGCGAGAGGGCGTCGCAGACGTCATTTTTGCGGGTCCTGGTCCGTCGGTTTCGGCCCTAGGTCGTTTTCACTAAGGGGAGGTTTTATTAAATGGAGGTTTGCCCACCACCGAAGGACTTTGAGCCGTGCATCGTACATTCGGGTAGAGGTAGTAGCCTTGGACGAGACACCTTCTAAGGTAGCCAGGCTGCTCTCTAAGAGGTGGTGCGTGGAGCGGAAGCTGCAGCTTCAACACGAAAAGATCGGCACGGATGAAATGTGTACTGACAGAATGGGTATGATGTCCAGCGTCCAGCAGTAGTCCCTCTATTCATTTTGAATAGGACTCGCTGTCTGCGCCGCCGCGGACGCTGTCCATTTGAGGCAGATAAGGCCGCCTGCGCAACATCGGCCGTTGTCGGTTTTGGGCAACATCCGCTGTTGGGCATCGCACCAGTCTTTCCGTACCCCTTCAGGGCGTCCAGAGAACATGTGTGGGGGCCAACCCGGACTCAGAGGGACGCCTCTGGCAGAGCACCCGCCTCGGGCTCCACGCCGAGCCGCATTTTGCCGATGCATCGGCCCTACGGCCTGACCCACCGGCCCCAGCTTCGCAGGCCTAGAGGTTGACACCAATCGGCGGTGTGCCTCCACCGAATGAAGAGAAGATCTCGATGGTGGTGGTAATATTCTGGCTTCAAGGTGACCGAACTATCACCACCAGCGAGATCTAGGATCATCTTCCTCCTGTGGAGGCAACTCCCTGCGCTGGTGTTGGTGCCTATGTCCAGGCCTCCAACATCTGCGGCAGGCACCTGCCGTCGCGCTTCCGGCTGTCTCTTACGCCGCGCGGATCGGTAATCACCGAGCGTGTCCCACCACACGCAAAGCGCCGACTCGCAGACGTCAGAAAAGAGTCATGTCTGCATCAATGTGGTGCATCGCAAGACCCCCATGGTGCATCCAGGCCACTTGCGAGTAGGTACGGTAGGGTCGTGTCGTTTCGACCGGCGGCGACCCCGCCGCCGGCGTTCAACGTTGAACGCCGGCGGCGGCCCAGAATCGGCCGATGTTGAACGATTGGACGTTGCGGAAATGGCCGATCGTTCAAGGTTGAACGATCCCCGCGGTGTCAGGAACCAACGCCTGGGTCGACACGACACGAACCTGCAGTACTTTGCGAGTCGTGGAACGCGCCTGCCTGTGAAGCCTGCGGCCAGGGGCACTCCTGGCAGCACCCGAGCGGAGGCCTGCAGACGACCGCGCCTCGCGGCCTGCAGATGATATCCGCCTCGCGGCCCGGGCCGCAGCGCTGCCCCTCCTCTCGGGGGCTTGCGGGGGAAGGGGGGAAAAAGGGGCGAGGGCGCGGCGGGCGTGAAGAGCCACGGGCCGGAGGTCCCTGCTCGAGAGGAGGAGGTAGGAGGAAGGAGGAAGGAGAGGAGGAGGAGAGAGGAGAGGAGGAGGAGGAGGAGGAGGAGGAGGGGGGCGGGGGGAGGGCCTCTTAGAAGCACCCCTGCGCCTTTTTATGACCCCCCCCCCGACGTAGACTGCCCACCTAACGTCGCCGGGACCTCGGCGACACTGATCCCGGCCCGCGCGGAGCGGGCGTGACACCTGCATTCAAGACTGCTGTTGTTGCCGCCTAGGCGCGAGCGACATTCTTCATTGCGCGCGATGGTCTCGCCTGTGCGTGGGCCACATCTGATTGCAAATGTGGCTGCCGCTTAGGGGCCAGCGACGTACTTCATCGAGAATGTCATTCTCGCCTTTGCGCCAGTCAAATGTCTGATTGAAATTGCTGCTGTCGCCCAGGCCTCGGCGACATCCTTCATTGAGCATGTCATTCTCGCCTTGGCGCTGGCCAGATCTTTGATTGAAAATGTGGCTGTCGCCGAGGCGCTGGCGACATCTGTCATTCAGCATGATGTTCTCGCCTCGGCGCAGGCCACGTGAACTTTAATGGGTCAGGTTAGATTTGGCGCATTGTCGACAGGGCCTGGGTCAGGTTAGGGTAGGGATTGGCTACGTTAGCGGCGGGGGGGGTTGTAGAGGGCGCGGGCCTCGTTCCGAGAATCCCTCTGACACGCCTCCCAAATCCGCCCGTAGGAGGACATACCCGACCTAAGGGTAGGGGGAGGGCTTCTTAGAAACACCCCTGTGCCTTTTTAGAGGGCGCGGGCCCCGTCTTTGTGTGTGTGTGTGTACATATATGTGTGTATATATATATATATATATATGTATACCAATCGGTGTAGGGCCCGCGCCTGCTGGCACGCAGCCTCTCCTCCTCCTCCTCCTCCTCCTCCTCCTCCGCCTCCTCCCCCTCCTCCTCCCCCTAGCCTCCTCCATCCTCCTCCTCCCTCCTCCTCCGCCCTCCTCCTCCTCCTCCGCCTCCTCCATCCTCCGCCTTCCTCCTCCTCCTCCTCCTCCTCCCCCTCCCCTCCCCCTCCCCCTCCCCAGCCCCCGCCCCCTCCCCTCTCCTCCTCCTCCTCCTCCTCCTCCTCCTCCTCCTGCTCCTCCGCCTCCTCCTCCTCCTCCCTCCTCCGCCCCTCCCCTCCGCCGCCTCTCACGTCTTCCGACGACGGCGCCGCCCGACCCATGACCAAGTGGTCGCAGGCCTTACGGTAAGTCGGGCCTGTCCCACCCCATACACGGATTAGTCGACGAAAAAATAAATACTACTCCCAAAATAGTTCTAAGAGGATGGGGACTATTTTTGTGTATTCTTGGGTTAGTGTTATGGGGCATTTATGGAGTATTTTTTATTTGTCGTCGAAAATCCCCCTGTAGGGGGACAGGCCCGACTTAATCTTACCGTTGCCGGTCTTGGTCATGATCCGTGCCGGCCGTTGTCGATGCACGAGGGTGATCCACGACATGACGCTGACCAAAATCGAGGGTGGCCAAGATCGACACAACTTTTCCGCGTTCGCTCTTGGTCAGGACCCCCGTGTTGTTATCCTGTTTATCTAGGCCTGCCAGATGGGGTCGGAGTAGATGGGGCCGGAGGATCGCACCGCATCGCCGTGCACCGCATGCGGCGCGATTCGGGGCCCCATTTTCTCCACGCCGACGCCGCCGATGCAGCGCCGACGTCGCCGATGCATCGCCGATGCGTCGATCCTTGATGCTTCGTTGATGCATCGGCGATGCGGCGCGATCCTCCGACCCCATCTACTCCGACCCGATCTGGGAGGCCTTTAATGTCGGGCCTTGCCGGAAGGTTTACCCCAGGCAAGGCCACAAAAGCTCCAGGCAATTCCCGGGGCGCTTCGCTCACGGAACCCTGGCCACGCCAACTCTTTGCCAGCCGCCCCCCCTGGCCGGGGAGAGCTGCCCTCCTCCACGGGGGCCAGCGCGAGTGCGATGCCGACGCCCTCCTCCTCCTCCTCCTCCTCCTCCTCCTCCTCCTCCTCCTCAAGCCCCCTGGTCGCCATTTCCCGCGCATGGCCGGTCCAGAGCGTGGCGCTGCAGGGGCTTGGGCATGACGCTACGGGAACCGCCCCTTCGAGGCGCAGCGGCAGCGCGGGCCGCCGCTGACCACCTGGTGAAGAAGCTCCTTGGCCAGATCGACGTGCTCCGCAAGGAGGTGGACAGGCTGCGATCTCTTCAACATGGCCCTGCTGACGAGGTCGCCCGTGGCGAAGCCATTCCTCGGCCTGCTGCTTGCTCCCTTGTGGCTGGCGGTCGTCTTTCTCATGGCCGCCGTCCACGGCGGAACGCTGCATGGCAGTCAGCGGCTTGCCCCAGTTCTGGTGCCCCGCGCGAGGCATGGGTCGCATCCCACTGCGGTCCATGCCTAAGCGCGTGCGTCCCCTTCGGCGACATCTGCTTCCGAGGTGCCGTGCCGCGCGGAGGTCGGCGGGCTGCGGCGCGACGCGTTGAGATGTTGGCGGCGCCGTCGGCCCCCCTCTCACCTTGCAGCGTTGTGCCGCTAGGCTCTGCCGTTCTTTCCAGGCGTTGGCGCTCATCAGCTTCCTGGAAGTGTTGGCGCCCGCTGACAAGCTTCCTGCGTGCAGGGTCCCCCCCCCTGCTGCGAATGGTTGTGAGGGCGGCGGTGCGGCGTTGCCGCGCGATCCGAGGCCCAGCTCACCAGGCAGGTGGGCGAGGTCGTCGCCTGCTCGAGCTTCGACGCCGAGCAGTTCCTCGCCCATCTGTTCAAGAACCGCCCCAGGGTGACCTGCTCCAGTCGCGTGGAGGGTGGGTTCGAGGTTGGGCCCCCCGACGCTGGCGTTAGTATGGAGGGCATAGTGCGCCAGATCGGGCACGGCGATGTGGACGTCGACCTGGTCCACGCCTTCCTGTCGTCCCAATCTCTTCGGGGCAGTGCTGCCGCGTCGAGGGCGTGAGCCTCTTCCGCTCCCTCGGGAGCACCTGTCGGGGACCTCCGCAGGTCGTGGCCTGCCGCTCGCGCGTTCCGCCTCGGAATCCTGACTGGCGTTCCCCTCGGCGTGTTTTGGGGGCGTGGCTCTGTCGGGGTTTTGGCTCGTGCTCTCGGGTGCGTTCCCCTTGCCCCCCCCCCCCTGCTGGTGGGCGGCCTTTTGGGGGCTGTCCGGCTGCCCGTTCGTCCCGCGGGGGTGGCTTCTGGCAGCCTGGACATGCCGTCTGGTAGTCCAGGCTGGGTCGGATGCCTATCTGGACTTCTTCGGGGTCCTTCCCTTGGCGCCGCGGCGCTTGCGCGGCGCGCTCGCGGCGGCGCGGGAGCCTGTCGACATCCGGGGCCTTGGCGGTCGTCTGCTTGCAGACGGCCGCCGGCCGCCGGGGCCTTTTTGATGATGGTCCATCTCCTAGTCCTTCTCCTACTCCTACTGCTCCTACACCTAGTCCTGCTCATACCCCCAGTCCTACCACTTCTCCCACTCCTCCTCCTACTCCTACTCCCACTGCTCCTACCGCTCCTACTGCTGCTGCTGCTCCTTTTCTGCTGCTCCTGCTGCTCCTAGTGCTCCCCCTCCTCCTCCCCCTCCGCCCTCCCCCCCCGTCTCCTCCTCCGCCTTCTCCTCCTCCTACCTGCTCCCTCACTCCTCCTCATCCTCTTCCTCCTCCTCCTTCTCCTCCTCCTCCTCCTCCTCCTGCTCCAGCTCCCACTGCTCCTGCTGCTCCTGCTGCTCCTACTGCTGCTCCCAATGCTCCTCATGCTCCTCCTGCTCTCCCTTCTTATCCTCCTCCTCCTGTTCCACCCCCTCTGCCGGCCGCGCCCCCCTGGGGCGCTTCCCAGGACGCCCAGCAGAAGTACGAGGCGACCATCCGGCAGCACCTCCACTCGATGCACAAGGAGCCCGCCCATCGCCTCCCCCCTGCATGTCGGGTCGGGCGAAAGGGGGGGATTGGGAAAGGGGGGGGTACGAAATCTGCTGCATGCAGCTGGTTTCGGCCCCACCGAGGGGCCCATTTCCTCGATACATGGCCGCTCCCGGCGCCGGGAGGCGCCGGGAATATCAGCTACGTGAGCTGATTCTCAAACCCCCCCTTTGCTCTCCCCCCCTTTCGCCCGACCCGAGCATGGCATGGGGTGCTGGGGTGAACAGGCTCTCGGGCGTTTATTTCGGGCGGGGCCAGGACGAGGGTGCATCCGCTACACTGGGTTTTGGAACGCTCGCAGGGCGTGCCAGAAAGCTCTGAGAGGGCCGCGGGCGCCCAATGCATTGTTCAGGGCCGCCGGACCTCAGAGATCGTCGATTTCTCTTACCTGAATGCATCCTCGTCCTGGCCCGCAAGTGTTTCGCCCTGCTCGGGCTCCTGGGGTCCTCCACGGGCCCCCAGGTTCCCTCGGCACGTCTCGGGGCGACCAGCTGGTCCTGGGTCCTGGGAGGCGGCCCTGGGGCCCAGGGGTTGTCCCCGCCTGGGCCTTTTGCCTGGCGCCAGCCGCCTCTGCCGCTGCCCGCCGGTGGCCCTCGGCCCGCCCCGCCGCCCCTCGCCAGTCGGTAGCTTTGCTAGCCAGTAGGCCTCGGTAGCCAGTGGCTCGTCGTCGTCGTCGTCGTCGTCGTCGTCGTCGTCGCTGCCTTTTGTTGGGAGAGCGGTGGAGGAGCGGCGGGCGGGCGCGGGGGCCGCGGGGCCCGACGGCGGGCAGGCCGATCGTGCTCGCCCTTGGGGTCTCCGTGTCTTCCCCGACTGCGCGCGGCCGCCTTCCTCGATCGCGGCCGCGTAGCCTTATGTCGGGCGTGTCCCCCTACCGGGGGATTGTCGACGAAAAATTCATGATACTCCAGAAATATCCCAAGCAGGTCAAAAAATACAAAAATAGTCCCTGGACTATTTTTAATTTTTTTCATTGTTTTAAGGGTATTCTTTATTTTTCGTCGAACATCCCCCTGTAGGGGGACAGGCCCGACTTAAGCGTAGCCTCGCGCGGGCCCGCCGCCGCCATTTGCGCAGCTGCGCCCGTGGCCCTGCGCTCCCCCCCGCGCGCTCCAGGGGGGCCACGCCGTGGGCCGGCATGCCCGCGCCCGAGGAGATCCCGAGGGGCCGCCGGATACGCGGCTGCGACGCCGTAGCCGTGCCGGTGTACCAGCTGGACGCCGAGCTCCGTGCCCGCGATTTTTCTCCACGTCCACCAGCGGCGGGCGCGTTTTTCGGAGGAGCTCGGGGGTGGCGCTGGACACTGAGCACCCTCCCGCCCACCGGTGGAGGGGCGTGTCCACGTCCGCTCCGCGAGGTCTTCTTAGATGAGAGCCTCTTGGCAGTTTACTTGTGCCACCCATTGGTTCTCTCGGGGCCAGCCAAAGAGCACTTGTTCAACGATGGTGGCTTTAAGGTGGGCGGTCCCCTAGAAGCGTCGCCCTCGAAGAGTCTTGCTGCGCTTTCCAGCGATCCCTGAGGGCCGTGATGGATCCCAGTTCGGCCCATCCCGAGGCTATCGTGGGCCGTCCTGAGGCCACAGAGGCCCATCGGAAACGAAAAAGCGAGAATGCAAGACTCCATTACGTTTCTTCAGCTTTGGACGGTTTTGGTCTTGGCCTCGTGGGGGCGGCCCTGGGAGGCCCCGTGGGCACTGGGGACCGTCTTGGGGCTCCTTGCAGGCATCTTGAGCCATCCTGAGCTGCCGCGTGCCATCTTGGAGGCAAACTCGGCCTATTTTGGGCCATCTTGGGGCCATCTTGGGTCAGTGAGGACCCTCTGCCCCTCCGTCCAGACTCCGGGGGGAGGGGGGGTTCAAGATACCTCTCACAGCACGGCCGCCTCGCTCACTACTACTACTACTACGACTACTACTACTACCACTACTACTTCTTCTTCTACTACTACTACCTACTACTATTGCTGCTACTACTACTACTGCTACTACTACGGTTACGACTACTTCTATTCATATTTGTACTACAGCGTCTACCACCACCACCACCAATACTACTACTACTGCTACTACTACTACTACTACTACTAGTACTACTACTATTACTACTACTACTACTACTAGTACTACTACTACTACTACTACTACTACTACTACTACTACTACTACTACTACTACTACGACTACTACGACTACTACTACTACGACAACTACGGCTACTATTACTACTACTACTACTACCACTACTGCTACTAGCTACTACTACTACTACTACTACTACTACTACTACCTCTATTACTACTACCGCTACTACTTATACTATTGGGACTACGACTACGGCTACTACTACCACTATTACTTTTACCAGCACCACTACTACTACTACTACCACTACTACTACGACTTCTACTAACTACATCTTCCCCCCCTCCGAATAGTATTACTACTACTACGACTACTACGACTACCACTACGACTATTACTACGACTACGACTATTGCTACTACTACTTCTACTACTACTACTACTCATGTTGCTCATTACTATTTCTGCTACTTCTAGTGCTAGTATTCGCAATTGTACTTGCACTACTTCTATCACTACTTCTGCTACCACGACGACCACGGCTACTACTACTACTGTTACTACTACTACTACTACTACTACTACTACCTCTGGTACTCATACTACTACTACTACTACGACTACTACTACTACACCTACTACTACTAGTCTTACTACGACCTCGACTATTACTTGTACTCTTACTACTGCTCCTCCTCCTCCTCCTCCTCCTCCTCCTCCTACTACTACTACTACTACTACTACTACTACTACGGGTACTACTACGACGGCAACTACTGCTACCACGGCGACTACTACTACTACTACTACTACTACTACTACGACTACTACTACAACGGCTGCCACTTCGCTTAGTACGCCTATTTCTGCTGCTAGTACAAATGCTTTTACAACTACTACAAATACGACTACTACTACTACTACTACTACCCTCACCGTTACAGCTCCTAGTATCATTATTATTGCTACCACAACTACGATCACGACAACTACTACTTGTACGCCTACCACACCTACTACGACGACTACTACTACGACTGCGACTCCTACTACTACTACTACCATTACTACTGCTACGGCTCATACTACTACCCTTACTATTGCTACGACCACTTCTATTACTGCGCCTGCCACTGCTGCTACTAGTATTACTACTACTCCGACTGCTGCTCTTACTACCTACTGCGACTACTACGACTACTACTCACCAGTACTACTACTACTACTATTGCTTCCACTACTACTACGGCTGCTACTACTGCCGCTACTAGTACCACTGCTGCTAGTAGTACGACTACTTTTACTATTACTACTATTACTACTTCTACCCTTCGTACTGCTATTGCCACTATTACTACACTACTATAGCTACTATTACTGCAACTACTAGTGCTACCCACGACTACTACTACTTCTACTACTACTCCTGCTGCTACTACTACTACTGCTTCGACTTGGATATTGCTGCTGCTGCTAGTACTACTGCTACTACTACGACTATTACGACAATGACTACTACTACTTCTACTACTGCACTGCTACTGCTACTGCTACTGCTACTACCACTACTACTACTACTACTACTACTACTACTACTACTACTACGACTACTACTACTACTGCTACTGCTACTACTACTACTGCTTCAACTACTGCAACTACTCTCACGACGACTACTACTACTACACCTACTACTACCACTACTACTATTACCATTCCTACTACCATTACTACGCCTATGACTACTACTACTACTACTACTACTACTGCTGATGCTATGACTACTACGACCATTTCTACAACCACTTCCCCTTCATCCCCCTGCTCCTGTTACTTGTCCTTCCCCTTCTTTTCCGCATTGTTTTTTCTCTTTTATTTATGCTTCTTCTCCTTCTCGTTTCGATCGTGTCCTCCTCCTTCTCCCCTCCTGTTTCTCCTTCTTTTCCTTCTCCTTCTCTTTCTCTGTTGGTTATTATCCTCCTCCTCCTTCTCCTTTTTCTCCTTCTCCCGTCTTCTAGCCTCCCTCTCGCTCGTATCCTTTTCCTTCTCTTCACTACTCCTTCTCATTCTTTTTCCGCCTTATCATCCCTCTCCTACTGCTCCTCCCCCTCCTCATCCGTTAACACCTCCTCGTCTTCCTCCTGCTCCTCACGCTCTTTCGCCTCCTCCTCCTCCTCCCCCCCCTCCTTCATCCTTCCGCCTCGTCCGCCTCCGCCGTCTTCCCTCGCTCGCTTCCTCCGTCTACTTCCTTCTTCTCCCTTTCTCCTTCCTCCTCCCTTCTCCTACTCACCTCGAAGCCTTTCTGTCCTTTCTCCTTCTCCCTTCCTTTCCGCCTCCTACCTCTCCTCCTACCTCAAACTCCTCCCCGTCCTATCCGAGTTCATCCGCCTGCCTCCCCTTAACCTGTCCCTCCTCACTCCTCACTTTTCCTCCTTACTTAATCTCATACTACTCTCCCTCCCTCCCCCCCCCCACCGCCCTTTCCTACTTCCCCTCGTCCTCCTCCTGCTCATACGGCTCCTCCGGCTCGGGCTGCGCTGCTGCCCCTCCCGCCTCTCCGCACTCCTCTCCTCCTCCTCATCCTACTCGACCGGCTACCACTACAATAGCTTTGTCAGCAAATGCTGCGATTAACTACTGCCCTCCAGCCGACTACTAACTTTCTACTGCTAACTACTACTACACTACTACTACTACGACTTCTACTACAACTACTACTACTACTACACTACTATTACTACTGCTGACTACAACTATTACTTTACTAACTACTGCACTTACCAGATTACCACCGCTACTACAGTTTATTACTACTGCTACTAACTAATGAATAGTAACTCTTATTATATTTTATTCTACGACGACTCCTACTGCGACGACTAATATACGTACTACCGCT